AAATACCTTTTAATACTTAAAAAATAAAATATAAAAAAAGTTAAATTTCTCCCCTCATTTTGTAGGTGAACTGCTTCCAGAATCTGACTGCAGTGTCAAAAAGAAGTAAATGGAACCAAGCAACAATATGACTTTCTTTGTCCTCTTGGGCCTCACACAGAACCCAGAAGAACAGAAAGTCCTTTTTGTGATATTCCTGTTCTTGTACACTTTAACCTTGGTGGGCAACCTGCTCATTGTTGTGACTGTTATTGTCAGTAGGAGCCTGGACTCACCGATGTACTTCTTTCTTGCTGGCTTATCACTTATGGATGTACTTTATTCCTCATCTATTTCTCCCAAATTGATTTCAGACTTGTTCTTTGGGAAACATACCATATCTTTCAAATTCTGTATGATTCAACTCTTCACAGAGCACTTTTTTGGTGGGTCAGAGATCTTTCTTCTGGTGGTAATGGCCTATGATCGCTATGTGGCCATCTGTAAGCCCTTGTATTATTTGGTTATCATGAAGCATAGAGTATGTGTTATATTGCTGGTGGTGTCATTGGTTGGGGGATTTTTGCACTCAATAGTTCAGCTTAGCACTGTATATAGACTCCCCTTCTGTGGCCCCAATGTCATTGATCATTTTGCGTGTGATTTGTTTCCATTGTTGAAACTTGCCTGCATGGACACCCACACCCTGGGTCTCTTAGTCATCCTCAACAGTGGAGTGATGTGTGTGGCCATCTTTCTTATCCTCATTGCCTCCTACGTGATCATTCTTTGTTCCCTGAAATCATACAGCTCCGAAGGGCGGCGCTGTGGCTCCCACATCACTGTGGTTATCTTCTTTTTTGTTCCCTGTATGTTCATTAATGTGAGACCTGCCAAAACATTCTCCATCGACAAGAAATTGTCTGTGTTTTATGCAGTCATAACCCCAATGCTGAACCCATTAATCTACACACTGAGAAATTCAGAGATGATAAATACTATGAAGCAGCTCTGGAGAAGAATAGTCATATCACATAGTAAATAAGTTTAACATTCACCAAAAAGACAATCATTTGACTTTGGGGTCCATCTGTGTGTAACCTAAGAGTTCTCTTTAAACTGATTACTCATCTTTTCCCTTCATAGCATTCTATCTATTTATTTAAGATTATTAGTGTAGTGTGTGTGTGTGCTTACTAGAGGAACAGAGAAAGACAGAGAGGCAGAAAGCAAGAAATCACCCCTTACAAGGGATCACCACTTTACAATCTCTTCTCTTCTATTCTCCTCTCTGGATTTTGGACACACACACACACCACACACACACACACACACACACACATGTGCCCTGCTGTTTTTGTTTCATTTTTAATTTATTTTAAATTTATTATTTTTTAAGCATTTCATTGCTATACATTATTTGGCTTGTAAAGAGAATTTACTCAACATGAAATAAATCTCAGACAAGTCCAGTTGAGAATATTATATACATTTTCATCAACAGGTAATAAACCATCTCTGTGACCCACAAATGTCTTGCCTTTCTATTTTTTCTCCCTTATTTCCTTCTCTATACACTTCCCTTCTCTCACCCTCCTTCCACACTGTCTCCAGTGTCTGTACGTATTTTCACTGCTTTCATGTTCTCCAATCTTTCAGTCTCTGCCATAGAGTGCAGATAGTTGGTATATTTTAGTGGAGACATACACTTTCTTTCACAATCTGGTTTCTTTCACTCAGGAATAAATTTCCATATTCAGCCCCTTTCTATCAAATACCATGGTCTTGTTTTTATAGCTGAATAGTATCCAATAGAGTATATGTGGCACCTTGCTGTTTTAAGTTGCTGGGTCTGTAACTTTAATCATGATTGACTACATGGAAGCTCAGAGATTTAACCATTATGCCATCTGTTGAT